GGGCACAGAAAATAAACAGGATAAAAGCGCAATTCCTCTGTCCCTACCCTCACACCCTCTCTACCTCTGTAGTGGGTTGTGGCCTCAGGCCCGGATTTGTGTTTCCCCCTCCTGTTGTGGAGTAGGGTTTCCAAATGGGGGTGGGGAATCCCCTGCTTCGGAGGCCCGATTTCTGCCGCAGCGGAATCGGGCCCCGGGGGGAACTCCGCCCCCCGAAGCTGCATCACCAGAGGTGACGCAGGACATACAACATGTTGGGGGTGTGGCCCAGATCATTGGAGGGAAACATATGGTTTCCCCCGACGATCTGGGCCACGCCCCCAACGTGCCCTACGTCCTGCGTCACTTCCGGTGACGTTCTGGCGGTGCGCGTGCGCATCCGCAGCCAGCTCCCGGACTGAGCAAACGCTCCCCCACCGGTGAGTGAATAAGATTTGGCAACCCTAATCCTGGAGATGGGCTTTCTTTTTAAAAAATTACTTGTTTCATCTAGTGGCTTGCCCTATTCCTAGAATCTGGAATGGGCTATGATATAAAGCAATTACACACAACGCATCATTAATTTAAATCAGACTAAAATCTTCTTTGAAACACCAGCCTCTGGAAAGCTCAGTCCTGCCCAGCAAAAGCTAACATGAGCAAGAACGTCTTGTAGAGCTTTAACAAAATGCTCAGACTTTTGGTATCACCAGGGAAAGCTGCGGGCCAGCCATGGCACTGCTTGATGAGCTCATGCTAGATGGAGTTGGGGTGTCGAAGGCATCCGGGAAAACATGTTCCGCTTTGATGTGCGAAACTGCAGTGTAGTGGAAGCAAAGGGGGAAATGTAATATAGTGGTGTGGGGCATTTTGAAATGAGAGGATCGGCGCACATGGTATTTGCAAGGATTTAATGTGTTTCATCTTTTTTTTTTAGGTATGCTAAGCGTCTTCATAAAGTAGTCAGAAGGTTAGTCCCCAACTGCGATGTTCGGTTTTTGCTCTCCGAGAGTGGCAGCGGGAAAGGAGCTGCAATGGTAACCGCTGTTGCCTACAGGCTGTTATCACAGCGTAAACAGATCGATGAGGTCTTGGCATACTTCAGATTAACTGAAGAGGACCTCGTAGAAGTGAAAAACAAAATGAGGCTGGAGCTGGAGCGTGGCCTGAAGAAAGAGATGCAGCCAACGGCGACGGTGAAAATGCTGCCAACGTTTGTCTGCGGAACTCCAGATGGGACAGGTAGGAAGCCCTAAATGCCTGCGACATTCTGCGTCTGTGGCTGGATGCCTTCCTGGGAGCCCTTGTACATCCACAGAAAACCTTTGCAAAGTCTGCCGGAGAAACGTAATAATTTTCATTAATTAACATTTTATTAAGAGATAAATATGAAATACAGAGGCTTAAGAAGGTAACGATAACTGGTATAACAATTGGTATAACAATTACAAAACTGAGTCATAGCTATTGTCAGCGGAGCAGAAGTATACTTGATAATATAGAGAGGAAGGGGGAAAATAAGAGAGAGGACGAGGAAAACAAATAAATCAGGAGAGAAGAGAAAGAGATACTAAGCTACATAATCCTTATGTTGTCACCATAAATGTAGTTGATTCATTATACTAGGTATTTCATCTTGTGTCGTGAAGTAGTCTAATATTGGGAGCCAAGTGGCAGAAAGTTACTAAGAGTTGAAGCAGAGGCTAGTGGAGAGGTGTTAAGTGTTATTTTAGCCATGATGTGAAAGTCCCAGAGTTTCTTGTGCCAGAGAGACAGGTTTGGGGGATGTGGATTTTACCATCGAGTAATAATTGTCATATAAACTGCTGAGAGAGGGATGGGAATGATTTCCCTTTTGGGATGTGTATGTTCTATGGCTGACCAACCATTCAGAAAAAGATTAGCAGGAGAAGGGAGAATATTAAGGCCTGTAATGGTTTTTATGCAATTCAGAACCATATCCCATTTTTTTTTATATGGGGGCAGTATAGCCAGCAATGAAGGTAAGAACCAAGAGATCCACATTTTTTTCCCAACAAAAAGGAGTTGTGAATTTGAATGTGCAGAGTTTGAACTTCATGGTTATATATTTTTTAAATCTTTCAGGTGTAGGGGAATTTGAATTCCTAGGTATGGATGGGAGGTGGTCACCCATTTATAGGTAAAGGATGATTTAAGCGCTAAGGAGATGTGAGAAGAGAGATCAGATTTATTGGGAAGAGACTTAGACATGATGATTATGGAACCCCTAGCTAATATGTAGAAATAATCAGATACAGGATATCAAAATCCATGGGACTGTATACAAATTCACACTCTTTGCTGATGACCTACGGCTAACTATTTCCAATCCACTCTCTTCCTTACCAGCCTTACACTCTGTTCTTAAGGAAGTTGGCTTGATCTCAGGACTAAAATAAATTTAATAATTTTAATCCCTCCTGGAGTGAACAGTCACAGTCTTGCCTGCACACATGTCGGCTGTATGTAGGGATGCCAGCTTCCAAAACGATAGCTCTTCTCCAGACTACAGAGAAATCGGTCCCCCTGGAGAAAATGGATGTTTTGGAGGGTGGACTTCTGTGGCACTCTACCCCCACTGAGGAGGCCCCCCTGTCCTCCCCAGGCTCCACCTCCAAATCTCCAGGAGTTTCCCTACCTGGATCTGGCCACCCTCCCCCCCCCCCTCCAGCCAGTGGCCACAGGGACCTAGCACCTCTAGCTGCATTTATTTCTTCCCTGCTTTCTGATATATGTGCTGTTCTTTTCAAGGCCTTAACTATGATAATTGTAAGATAACATAAAATGAGGATCTCATCATAAATCATTAGAATCATATTTTGCTGTTGACTAAAAAACAGTTTGATTTTTCAGGTGTGCTACAAATTACTTCTGCTTTCAGTGGAACTGATCTCTCAGGTTTCCCTGTTAAGAAACATGTGGCATGTTGAATTTCTTTTAAAAATTGCCCAAAATTATAGGCTGCAATTTAATCAGGTGCCGAAACAAATGCATTATAAAAACTATATGGTAAGGAATTTCGTTAACCTGTGGTAGGTAAAGAACGTGAGAAGAATCATCATGAAACATGAATTGATTTTCTGTTGCAGAAAAAGGAAAATTCCTTGCTCTAGATCTTGGGGGAACAAATTTCAGAGTTTTGCTTGTAAAAATCAGAAGTGGAAGAAGCAAATCGGTCCGAATGTACAATAAAATCTTTGCCATTCCTATGGAAATTATGCAAGGAACAGGGGAAGAGGTAAATTAAAACAACTAATGCTTTCTTTCTTTTTCTCGATCCACATTCCATGGAAAATATTGGTTTTAAATATTGTTTCTCTCTCCCTCCAGCTGTTTGATCATATTGTTCAGTGCATCGCAGAGTTTTTGGAGTATATGGGCATTAAAGGTGCACGACTCCCTCTTGGCTTTACATTTTCTTTCCCCTGCAGGCAAGCAAGCATTGATAAGGTAAGGCATGGAATACAAGCTTTTGGGCTTCTTTTAATCTGGCCCTCTTCTTAAAGAGAGATTAATAAGAGTTGCAGTGCGAAGATCTGTAATGTTTGTTGTTGCACTCTACCCTGCTGTGGACTCCCTTGATCGGATTTTTAAAAGCAGCACTATAATTGGTTTAATTAGAAAATGGAGAAAATCAGTGTTGTGTTAGATCAAAAATGTCAAGCTTTTGCATCTAAATTGATTTCCTCTAATGAACACACACATTTGTGTTTAATAAAACATATATCTACTAGGAGAGAGAATTCTGAGTAGACTTTATTACGTATTACTGTTTTGGTGCTCCCACTGAAAAACCACATCTGCATTGTCAGGACTCCACATCTTGGTAATAACATATACAAGACCGCCATATGATTGCATGACTCTAGCTACTTTTCCTGGTAGTGTTGTGCTACCATCCGAGCTGTTGGTGCCGGAAGTAATCGCACAACTCAGGCAACGCAGATGGTCTGCCCCTTTCGGATGTTACTGCTTTAGCATAAGATTTGCTGTGCTGGGTCTGCTAATCCAGGTCTGCTAATCCAGAATTATTTTTCCAGCCATGGCCAATCAGATGCCTCTGAGGTGCTCAAAAGAAGGGGATTTTTGTCCCCAACATCCTGGTAATCAGAGGTGGCTTGTGAAGAGACAAGGCTTCAGCCTCCTCCAGACCATGTTCTTTACCTGAAATGGCCCCAGAGAGTTAATATTTGACCCACTGGGGTAAGTAGCAGCTTCCTGGGCTGTTTCAGGTCTGGAAAACAGCATCTGGGGATAGCTGAAGCTCCTTCTCTCATTCAGAGCTTTAACAAGGGCAAGGCAACTTGCCTTGGGTGCCTGTAATGTATCCAGTCCAGCAAGTCCAGACACAAATGTTGAGCTTCGCTCCAAGAGACAATGGACTATGCGGACCCTAGCCCGCTCCAATCAGGGGGCTAGGTTCCCGGCCGAGAGCCTATGGGACTCTCGGCCACTGTAAATAACCTATAGGGAAGTAGGGGTGTGTTTTGGGTGGCGGTTTCTCTGGGGATATAAACTGGCCTGCGAGCTGGCCAAAGTCGTCTTGTTCCGGATAGAATAAAGTATACTTTGCTGAAATCACTCTCCATTTGCGTACTTTTCAGTGCCCAAAGCTGAGAGGCACAGAAAAAGTATATCATGACTAAAAGAAATGGTGTGTTAGTACTTGTGTTAATTACATATTTACGTTTCTAACCAAAATAACTACTATCAAAAAATATAGGGGGTGGGGATGGGCATGAACCGGGAAAATTGTGGTTTGTGATGGTTCATGGTTTGTTTAATTGTACGAACCATGAACTTTCACAAACTTTTCCCATTTCCCGAACTGGTACGTGGTTCATTCAGTTTGTGAATTTGGGAGGTGGTAGAACATCCCCCTCAAAAGCTAGAGATGCCAAACTCATAGAGAGTCTTCAGCAGGCTCTCCTCCACCTGCCCTCCAAGTTTGACAAAGATTGGATTTGGGATGTCTGAGTTATAGCCCCCCAAAGCAGGTGCCCCAGGAAAGCTCAGCTCTAGCCTACCCTTAAATCAGCCACACAGCAAGCCATTCTTCCTAACTGGCTCTCACACAACAACTAACTCCTCTCTCTTCCTGCTGCAAAGTGAAAGCAGCTGAATCAGAGTGTGGTATATACACAATCTGCTCCCATAGAGCAGAATGGACCTCCGTGGTTGGCTGTCAGAGCTGCCAATCAAGCTATGGACAACTTCTATGGGTGTCTCCAGGGCTCTCCACAAGTCCACTCCCATCATTGCTTGGGAATTAATTGATAATGATAGGGGGTGCAATTTTATATTCTTGCCTCAGGCACAAGATTAACTACTCATGGCTCTGTCCTCATGTGCTGTGGTCCTGAACTAAACCAGGCCCACATGTACTGAACATCTCCAGATGCTGGGAACTTCAAGAATGCGTCTCTACAAAATTCATGTGTGAATGGTCAGTCCTGAGTTTTCCAGAGCTTTCTCTCCAAGCACACTCTGTTCTTCCTCCTGGCCTTGTGAGCCAGCTGCAAAGCGGTCATGACCAGTGTTCCCTCTAAGCTGAGTTAGTGTGAGCTAGCTCAGAGTTTTTTAGCCTCCGGCTCACACATTTTTGTCCTGGCTCAGGAAGGATGGCTCCAGAGCAAACTAATTCATGCAGCAGCCAGATCGCTCGCTCACAACTTTAATGCCAGTAGCTCACAAGGCAGAATTTTTGCTCACAAGACTCCATAGCTTAGAGGGAACATTGGTCATGACCTAGTTCCACCATTTGAGGACACTATGGTGATAGTCTGACTGGTCAAGTGATATTCTAGTGGTAGAGAGGAGATGGTGCCAGATCTGGGCAGGAAGGGGTGAAATCCACACTTCCACAAACCCATTTGGGGTACAAGCTTCCAGGAAAGGCCATATACCAAAGCAAGTTTGGGGAACGGTGCAGCGGAGCAGGGGGAAACTTGAAAAATTGGCAGAAGCATGAAAATGTTCTGCAGAAGCCAAATTTCTGTCCATTGTAATGTCCATTTGTTTTTCACTCTTGCCTTGTTCTAGGGGGCTCTCATTGGCTGGACAAAGGGTTTTAAGGCCACAGACTGTGAAGGAGAAGATGTTGTTGACATGCTCAGAGAAGCTATTAAACGCCGAAATGTAAGTTTTGTAGGACTCCCATTATCTGAACTTCGGTTATCCAAACATATCTCTGTGTCGGTGTAAATGGAGCATGTTCTCCAGTTCTTTTTAAAACGAACTTCTGATTTTTCAAAGGGTTTGATCACATTCCATGTTGTTCTGTCTCAGGATGGTTAAGGTCAGTGTTCCCTCTAAGCTGAGTTAGTGTGAGCTAGCTCACAGTGTTTTAGCCTCTGGCTCACACATGTTTGTCTTAGCTCAGGAAGGAGGGCTCCAAAGCAAACTGATTTATGCAGTAGCCAAATTGCTTGCTCACAACTTTAATGCCAGTAGCTCACAGCATTGAATTGTTGCTCACAAGACTCCATAGCTTAGAGGGAACATTGGTTAAGGTATGGTCCATCGGTCAAATAAGGATGTAGGACAATGGGAATTTCATCCATCTCTGGAAAAACAATGTACATTTTAGACCTTGTAACTGCAGGAGGAAGTTCGTGGTAGTGAAAAGTGCCGTCAGGCCACAGCTGACTTTTGGTGGTGATGCCACAGGGGCTTCAAGGCAAGAGATTAGCAGAGCCCTACCTTCTACTGCATAGTGACCCTGGACTTTCCAAGTGGTCTCCCACCATGCAAGTACTAACCAGGGCTGACCCTGCTTAGCTTCCCGGATCTGAGGAGATTGGGCTAGCCTGCGCCATAAGTTAAATAATGTAAGTAACATTGCTATAGGATCAAAAATCAGGGGAAGGAAGTGAAAGCCACTCTGGACGTCCAGACGGTTGGACAAGAAAGGCTGGTTTCAGGTCAATGTTCTGCTGGAAGGCTCACTAGCTGTCAAAATCCCTTAACATCTCACAAGTTTTTGTGAGGCTAAATAAATAAAGAAATCCAGCGGCTGCGTGGCATCAGACAGCAAGGTTTTTCAAAAGCTGACTCAAATTTCCTCACAATTAAGAATGCTAGCTGTAGATGATAAGTGATGTAACATGTCCAAAATGTCACACTGATACAAATAAATATACAGATCCATTGTGGTACTCAGTGGGTTTCTGATATCCTAGCCCTTGGTGCTGAACAAATTATCACATCTCTAGTCCTACGGCATCTTTCCCACTCCAGGCATGTTCACCAAATGAGTTTTCTGTTATAGGAATTTGATCTGGATATTGTGGCCATTGTCAATGACACTGTTGGGACCATGATGACTTGTGGTTATGAAGACCCAAACTGTGAAATTGGTCTCATTGCAGGTAAAAATAATGCTGCCTTACCCATTACTGTATACAGGTTTTCCAATGTGTGATGTTACATGCCACTTTATAGTATAGATTGTGCCCCAAACTGTTAACATGGAACAAAACTCACAGCCTGCAACCCAGAAAACAACAAATGCTTTAGGCATCCTATAGCCCGTATGTTCAAGATGCTGCCACTTTCCATTGCAAATGCTCAAAATAGGGTGTTCAGGTCCCCCTCGCCACCAGCAGGGGATAGGTAATAGGGTTGCCAGATCCAGGTTGGAAACTCTTGGAGATTTGGGGATGGAGCCTGTGGAGGACAGGGACCTCAGTGGGGCACAATGCCATAGAATCCACCCTCCAAAGCATCCGTTTTCTGCAGGGGAACTGATCTCTGTAGTCTGGAGATGAGCTGTAATTCTGGGGCATCACCAGGTCCCACCTGGAGGCTGGCATCCCTCGTCAAAAGCAGCCTGCTTTTGCCCTTGTTCTTTGGCTTGTCTACTCAGCTGTTCTACTAGTCATCTGTCCCCGGTTCCTGAGCTCTTACAGAAAACCTTGTGGTTCCAGGAAGCATTTCTTTCTTTCCCAGTTGTACTGCTTTTCCTCCCTCTGTCTCTGCTGCTCTTTCCACTGCAGTCAGATAAAAACGCACAAGGCTTTTGTTTTTCCCCCAGGGACAGGCAGTAATGTGTGCTACATGGAAAACATGAAGAATATCGAAGTTATCAAAGAGGATGAAGGCAGGATGTGCATCAATACAGAATGGGGAGGATTTGGTGACAACGGCTGCATTAATCATCTCAGGACAAAATATGACAAAGAAGTAGATGAAGGTTCATTAAACCCTGGGAAACAGAGGTAAACCAGGTGTTATTGCAATGTCTTCAAACTAATGAAGCGTATGTGATAAATTTTAAAAACAAAAAGAGCATCTGCTTTGGTCAACTGGTTGGTTTGGAGATGCAGCCAGATAATTGGGTACAATAGGAAGGCTGTTGACATATATTGTATCTGCACATTCATGGTTCACCCCTGCCTTCAGGCAACAGATCCATAACACAAGGAATTTCCTGATGGTTCTAAGGGCAGAACTATATATGACTGTAGGAAGCCAAGTCTTCAGAGGTGGTTCACTGCCAAACTCTTATCAAGTGAGTGGTGGAAGATTTCAAGAGGAAAACTGGCAAGCAAGAGGGAGAGTGCAGAACTCTTTCCTCCAGCTGCAGCTTTCTACCCACAGTTCCTCTCTGACATTTCCCGTTTGCGACTGATAAGCTGTCGGTTGCCAACCTCCCAGTGGGGCCTGGAGACCTCCCAGAATTACAACTGACCTCCAGACTACAGGCATCAGTTCCGCTGGGGAAAATGGCAGCTTTGGAGGGCAGACTCTATGGTATACCATAGATTCCAGGTGAAATTTCACTGCAAATTACCCCTCCACAAGCTCTGCCCCCAAATCTACAGGACCTTCCTGGGCCAGAACTGGCAACCCTCAGATGGGGTGTGGGGAAAAGAGGAGGGGGTGAATTTTATGTGGAAAAGTAGCCGGCAGGAGGAAGAGTGTTGGACCCTTTCTCCCACATGCTGTTTCCCCCTTTTCATGTCATTTCCCCTCAGATGGGCTGACTTCCAGTTCTGGAGGCTGGCAGAAGGAGCTGTGGCATCAGAAGAATGTGTCAGTGATTCCTTGCCAGCTACTTTTCCACTGGAAAGCACTCCTACCATTCTTTACAGATGTTTTGGGGCAACCCACATTTGCAGACACAGGTTGGCTGCTGTTACATGTTGTTACACCCCAGGAGCCATTTCAAACCTTCAAGAAGAGCATGTGGGACAGTCCAGACCCAATGCCCCATTTGACAGCATCTGCATTGTACTATTAACAGTGTTTTTCATCACAGCCCGATGATTGTCTTTTGTGTTAAAGGTATGAGAAGATGACCAGCGGAATGTATCTGGGTGAAATAGTGAGGCAGATTTTGATTGACTTGACGAAGCAAGGCCTTCTCTTCAGAGGTCAGATTTCAGAAACGCTGAGAAGCAGAGGAATATTTGAAACCAAATTCCTGTCTCAGATTGAAAGGTAAAACCACTTGCTATACTACTTAGGACTTGTGTGCATCCCACTTCCTACCATATAAAGCTCTACAGTGTTTCTGTGCAGGAGCTAGGGCTGCCACCTCTGGGTTGGGAAATTCCTGGAGATTTGGGGGAGGGGAAGGACCTCAGGAGGGTACAATACCATAGGGTCCGCCCTCCAAAGCAGCAGTGTTTCTGAAGGCCCATATGAGCCTGTCTGTCTTTGAAGATCTGTTTCTGGCACCCTGCTCTGGAAGACTCTGCCTTTAAGCAACATACAGGCAAAGGGTTGTACTTGTGGAACAGAATCTCCCCAGTTTACTCGTTTTTGCCCCAGTGTCAAAGGGTTAATACCCCCCCCCACACACACACACACAGTGGGGTGGCAGAGGCAGGATGGAGCACAGTGAGTGGCCAGCTGATGCTCTACAGAGTCTGGTGGCATCTCAGCTTTATAGACTGGCTCTGAGGTGTTGCACAAGAGAGTAATTGTACTGCATAAGGAGAATGCACCAGTGCTAAAGGAGATATATCTGTGTTGTGCAAGCAGTGCAGATATGGAGACCGGGGGTGGGGTGGGGGGCAGAACTAGGTACCTGTTATCTAAAGTGGTGGGAAGTGCTGTCAAGTCATACCTGATTTATGGCAACTCCACAAGGTTTTCAAGGCAAGAGGAGTTCAAAGGAGGGTTATTTATTTACATTATTTATAGTCCTTCTTTCTCACTTGGACTCTAGGCCAGGGGTGTCGAACTCATTTGTTATGAGGGCCAGATCTGTCATAAATGAGACCTTGTTGGGCCAGACCATGTGTGTTATAAAATGTAATGCCAGGTAGCGGAGATATAAATTTATAAAGGACACAAACACAAAGGGTTTTTTTTTTAACTTAAAATAAAAACATGCTTAAAACATTAGCACTCTTGCAATATTTTGTTTAATTAACAGTGGCTGATAACTGACACCTCTTGCTCTGAATTATTGCATCAAAATGTCTGTGCTGTTGCAATCTTGAGTATGCTGTTCAGGTGTGTATCTGTAAGCTGCAAACCTACAATGACGCAGCAGCAGCAGAACTGGAAGGAGAAGCAGAAGACAGCCAGTTCCACTGCGGGACTGATAGAAGCCCTCTGGGGGGGCCTCATCCGGCCCACGGGCCACATGTTTGGCACCCCTGTTCTAGGCAGATTTACACAGAGTGAGTCAATACAATCGACAGCTGGGACAGTCAATAAACAATGTAATAGGGCTAGGGGTGCAGAACCAAGCATACATCTAAAGACAGAACTGCATTAAGTATTAACATGACACATTAAATGATGTAAAGTTCCATAGTAAGATTCTAGCTTCAACAAGCTATACATAGTAGTATAGACACAGACAGTCTCTAATAATTTATCCAGGTAACTTTCTGAATCAGTGCAACTCTATTGCCTGAGTAGAAAAGCCCTCTTGAATAGTTTTGTATTGTTTGTGGACAGTCATCTAATTCCGTAGTAAACTTGGGGCTGGTTTACACCCCAGGAGTTGCCATTGCCTGCCTCTCTGTAGCAACCCTGGGCTTCCTGAGTGGTGTTACCATGTATGTTAGCAATTGCATTTTGTCTGTACTGTGCTTATGCTGGTCAGTGTGTATACAGACTTCCAATTTGACTTACTCAAATACTGATAGAAGTTTGCTAGCTTATCAATAACAATGAATATTGTGCTGCACTAATCGCTTTCCAATCAAAAGACTCAAAGGTTAACTTATCCACAATTGGATACCATTTACCAGTTAGGTTCATTAGTTCACATTCATTTTGGTCATTCGTGTTAAAAATGGAAACGGTTTCTAATAAAAAATATTCCCATACTTTAGATAGCCATAAATTAATTGTCGGAGGATGTTCGTCTTTCCATTTCTTAGCTATAACATTTTTTGCGGCTGTAAAGATTGCCTATGGACCAGGCGCATCTTCTGCAAGTCAAAGGTTGCCAATGGAAACAACAGTTTCACACCTGGCCACATGGCCCCCTTTTGAAGTTAGGGTAGCATATCTGCATATTGCCCCCTTCCCCTCATTAGGACGTCACCACTCTTTGACCTATAGCCTTAGCAAAGAGGACGGACCCTAAGGGTTTATGGCCGTAAGCCAAGCCCAAAAATGTAGCTTTTAAAAAGAGGAACACAGCCTTTGCTCCTCTGGTTAACCCACCCCTCCCCTACCTTGCAACTTAAGCGCTGCAGGTGAGTCTTACTGTGTTCCCGGGAGTCGCGACCCAGGAACCCGCACGTGGCTATAAATGCAGAATCAGCTATAGCATATCCCCACTGCTCACGTTTTCTTACTCCAGCTAAAAATACATAGGCTTAGAACCCATGAATGAATTCCATGCATGCTGATAATCTCTGCTGCACAGTTTGCTTCCTCTTCCACTAAACCTTCCATCTGACTAAGATCAATGGTTTTCCTTGAGGAAACAGAAGTTATAGCTGAAATCGAAGTATGCTCTACAGCAAAGAATACCTAGTGTGTATGGAAATAGATTCAGGTGGGCAGCAGAACAAAGTTCAACTCCAGTGGCACCTCTTAAGACCAATAAAGTTTTATTCTGGGTAGCTTTTGTGTGCATGCACGTTTCTTCAGATACACTGAAATAGAAGACACCAGCCTTTACATATAGGTAGTGGGTGAGGAGGATGTTGCCAGGAAAGGCCAGTTAGAGTCAAGATGCATAGGTAACTGGGTAATAAGTATAGATGATATTGGATTAAATGGGAATAATCCAATATCAGATATACTTATTACCCAGTTACCTATGCATCTTGACTCTAACTGGCCTTTCCTGGCAACTAACCCCTCACTTATATGTAATGGTTGAGGAAATCTATTTCAGTGTATCTGAAGAAGTGTGCGTGCACAAGAAAACTTATTCCTAGAATTAAACTTTGTTGGTCTTAATGGTGCCACTCGACTCTAACTTCGTTCTGCTGCTTCAGACCAGCACGGCTGCCCCCACCTGAATCTATATATCCTGTGTGCTTAATGAATAACAAATTCTGTGACCTGCATAAATTGTGCAGTTTAGCACACTAGTGCAGATCTGCTTTATTTTGCATTATTAGTTCTGTGCTTGCTGGACACGGGGAAGAGAAAAGGCTCCATGTGACTAGGGTTGCCATTTCCCAGATGGGGGCAGGGGTTGCCAGTCCTCCCAAGAGCAATGTCATGTGATGTGCTTACGTTACTCAGAAGTGACGTTGGCATGCTGGGGGCGACACTCTGTTTTTTGGGCAAAACTCTATGGTTTGAGGGTGATTTTACCATAGTTTCCCCAAAAAACAGATCATTGCCCCCCATGTGCCTATGTTACTTCTGGGTGATGTAGACACATTGTGCAACATCATGTCTGGTGACATCGGCATGTTGGGGGTGATGCTTCTGGCTCCCAGAACATCTCTCGCCGACATCTCTATCGGACCTGGCAATCCTACATGTGACACTGGAGACCCACTTTCTGACCACAAAAAACCATGAAGTAGAAGACGACCTACGAAAGATTTCTTTGGTTAGACCAGGGTTACCGGCTGCTGCTTCTGCGAAAATCTACACGAAGGTCTGTTTTGTGTTTGGCTGACAGTGACCGGCTTGCCTTGCTCCAAGTGAGAAAAATCCTGCAGCAGCTTGGCCTTGACAGCACCTGTGACGACAGTATCACCGTGAAGGAGGTGTGCGGCTGTGTTTCGAAGAGAGCAGCTCAGCTCTGTGGAGCCGGACTGGCGGCGGTTGTCGAGAAGATACGGGAGGACAGGAACTTGGAGCACCTAAAAACCACCGTAGGCGTGGATGGCACCTTATACAAGCTGCATCCTCAGTGAGTGCTTTCATCTCTTCTCTTCCACCTTCACCCTCTTGTAGTACACTGCACTTGATCTTAGCCGAAAGGCCGAGTACTGACTGCATTTTTGTGGGGAGGAAAATACCACATCGATACTTGACATAGCTGCTCCCTTCCCCTTGACTGCCATGGACAGGGATCCCACAGGGCCACGCCAAGTGGGTCAAGGGCAGAGCCCACTGTGACGCACTGTGCCATCCCTCCCCTCTGTCCTTGCAATACAGAAGCTCTCCTTCCATGCACATTCACCTGTCGTCATAATGGCTGGCATTTTGCTAATTAACAAATAAGTGGCCATGACCTCCGCGTGCATTGTAGTCTTTGTTATCTTAGTTTTTCTAGGATTCTGCAAGAAACTGTGAAACAGCTGGCGCCCCAGTGTGATGTGACTTTCCTGCTTTCAGAAGACGGGAGTGGAAAGGGAGCTGCCCTAATTACTGCTGTTGCCAAGAGGATGCATAGCGCCGCTGAGCACTGAGCTGCTCACACAGCTTGGGCCGTGCATGTGTTCAAGGTCTGTGGAGAAGCCTTATAAACCTGCTGAGGTTGGACATCCACGAGTGGGACTTGCTTCTTACTTGATTGTGGCTCACTGTGGAAGCAGAAGGACTGTCAGATCAGATCCAATCTAGGTATCTGGCTAGATATGTACATAGAATGCCTGTGGGTGGCCTGACGTTTTGAGGGATGATCGTAGTCTTGATATTTCTATGCGGTGCCTAATACAGCACAGGCTGGTCACGTAAGCTAATCCATTCACTGAATTAGTTTCTTCTAAATCTATTTATATGATCTGCTGTTCCCCCTCTTCCATTTTCTGATTCAGTTAGGGTTGCCGGCTCTGGGTTGGGTAACACCTGGAGATTTTGTGGCTGGACCCTATGGAGGGGAGGTTTTGGGGAGGGAAGCAGCGTATAAAGCCACAGAGTCCACCTTCCAAAGCAGCCCTTTTCTCCAGGTGAACTGATCTCTGTTGCCTGGAGATCAGTTGGAATAATGGGAGATCTCCATATACCACCTGGGGGTTGGCAACCCTACATTCAAGACTGTTTCTGTGCATTTTTACATGCCCTTTTTACTATGTTAGTCATAATTCTGCTGGCTAAAGTAAGTATTCTGTCCCTCTGTAGCTCACAGCTGATACTTGTTTACTGTTCCTTTTAAAAAGAAAACAAGGGGGGGGGAATGTTTTCTCCCTGCCGCCCCAAAGTGTATTCTTCGGTATGTTGCTAATGATATTTTTGTTTCATTGTATGTTTGTGGGTTTTTTTCATGGGGTAGACTGTTGTAGTGGGCCTAATTGGTAATCCCCAGAAGCAAACGAATCAGGATGAAACAATTCTTCACACTCAGTCATTCTCATAAAAAGGAAATGGTATCATGTGATGATATAGTCTGTGAATAAAGGACGTTAGGTTGGGAAAGATTAATGACGAGTTCTTGGTTTTCCTTTAGCTCTCCAAAATACCTTAAAATCCTGAACAATAGACATGATTCCTTTGTGTCGGGCAAACAGAAGTTTGGTTGCCTCAGGAACACAGTGCTTTCCCCAGGGTGCCCCAGTACATAGGACCCCCCACATAACCTGCACACCCTCATCTGAGTCTTCTGTCATCCTCTGTCCTTCTGTGTGGTAAAAGGGGAACATATTGCTTATAATAAGCGTTAACAACCCAAGGTACAAAGTTGGTGCAGTTTTCCCCAATGCCACATTGGCTGGCTTGCAAGGGGGAGGGGGGGATGTTCCCCCCTGCTTGAAGTGTCAGACAAGACTAGGCTTCCCAGCCTCAAGGGTGGGGCCTAGAGTTCTCCTGAGACTACAGAGATTGGTCCCCCTGGAGAAAATGGCAGCTTTGGAGGGGGGGGAAATCTGTGGCACCACATCTCTGCTGAGCTCCCCCCCCTTCCCTAAACTCCACCTTCCCCAGGCACCACCTAGAAATCTCTAGGAATTTATCAGAGGTGGCAACCCAACAAGACTGACAAAATTGCAAGAGAAAATGAGATGCTTTGAGTTCTTGCTTTACAGTTCTGCTTTTTATTCAAGAGAACATCACTGGCATCATTCGCCATGGATGCATGTTGAAATGACAAAGGAGAAAGGTAAATAAAACAGATAAGCCTCAGGATGGCTTTTGCTTTGTGGAACTCCAGATATAAATTCTGAAATACAGTATTTATGGCCATGGACCAAACAATGGGCGTCTGGTGTTTTCTTTTCTTTTCTTTACAGAGGGTTCTTCCACAATCTCATTTTTCTCGCTTGTGTGTCCTTATTGCTTTGATTTTTCTTCTTTTCGGCGTATGTTTTGCTCCCTCTAGTGGTTAATTCGATATTACATTGATGTAATATTGATGTACAGCAATGTAATATCGAGTTGACCACTAGAGGGAGCAAAAATGTGAGGGGGGGGGGAGGAACCCTGAAGCAATAAGGACACACAAGTGAAGAAAATTAAAATGCAGAAGAGCCCAAAATCTTGAGTTAGCTTTCATTTTAAAAGGGTCTTGTCCTCATTATTGCCGAAACATGATTTCATTTGTACTCAGGAAGGTTCTGATATAAGGAGGCTTTAGGTAGATTTTCCGATAACAAATTGGATGGGAGCTTTCTAGTTCACCCACCTCCCTGTCCTTTCTCCATGGTTTCCAATTTTTGTTCCTATGCCCTGTTTTGTACTCCATCCATTCCATGTACTTTACTTTCTAAGGCAATTCTGAAGTTATATTATATATATGTATATGTGTATATGTATATGTATGTATGTATATATATATATATATATATATATAGAGAGAGAGAGAGAGAGATAGTTGGGCAGATTACGTTATTAAATGCATACATGTATAGTTTGCATAATTTATGAGTCACAGAATTTGGGTAGTTTCACTAGAGGATAATTGACATTCTTGCTTCCTGATTGGCATACAACTAATAGATCAGCTAATAGGTATGTGAATGCATGAAATTTCATTTGACCAGGGAGATTTTTAATAGGGGCTTTGTAAGTGCCAGAAAAGCCATTTGAGGAACGTTGCTAAGAAGAGGTAGAGGAGTACCACATAGTGTAAATAGTAGATTGGAAGCTATAATAAACACTGAACGTTGCTGGGCTTGAACCAAGGCTACTTCTGCACTAGCTATTTAGTCTGGAATGGATATCATTTGTTTGTTTGCTTTTAACAGAGTCAATATCATGTCACTGGCAATCCTTTGCATTCCATTGTTTTCCCTGTTGCCCTCCCATCTTTTTTGTGATTTGTGGTGATTTCTTTTGCAGAAAATACAACTGCAGCCCCAGACTATCCAGTGAAGTAAAAACGCTGTTGAATTTTTGTAGAGCTACTGGTCACTTTAGATGTTCCTCCTTTCCCTCTACTGGTAGCTTACTTACTTCCCTTCTTTTCTGCAGACCAGCACATCCACCAATCTACAGTTATATTTCCCCCCCTTACATTACATAGAGAAATGTGTTCTTTGCTGAACAGAACTTCCAAATAAACAATGTGAACAGTTATTGGTGGATTTTATGTGCAACACAAAGCTATGGTTGGTACCCTGTGGAATCCAGGTTCCAATTCTGTTTGTAGCCATTTGTAAAAGAGTAACTGAAAAACAGAAAATGTGGCCTAGTGTGGATCCAGCCCTCCAGAGCCAGCATCTGTTCCTGCGACTCTGCTGGAAAGTATCTCCTCACTGGGAGCAAACTCACTGGGCAGTGGCGGACCTACATTTTTGAGACCCTGAAGCTTGAACTGTTATGGGGGCCCCCTTCTCAACAGCAATAGATTCTGGCAAGCTCAGAGAGCCCATACAGCTGGGGGTTCGGGTTGAAATTTGACAAATTACAGGGACATTTTGAGGCCATATAGAATGGGTATTAGAGCATATTCTAAGGTTAATATTAAGTCCTTAAAACCATTGGCTTATGATTCTGTTACTAGAATAGCCTTATCTTAATGACAAACACCTAAAAAAACTCCATCAATTTTGTTGAAAAATTCACTCATTTAAAAACAGCAACAACAGTTGCTTCAGGGCTCCTCCAGGATTAAGGGCCCTAAAGCTTAAGCTTTATTAGTTTCACAGTAGATCTACCCCTGAAACTGGGAAGTGAAAAATGGCCCTGGAACTAGGCCCTGGAACCACCACTATTGCAGAAGCCTAATCGGCAGAAAGAGAACCTATCAGTGGAGCGAATGGAAAACTAGTGAAGGAGAATTGTTGAAACTCTATTTCATTCACAGCTAAAGAGTACCAGCTATCTGAGTTCCGCTTGATGGCGGCGCGCTAGCAGACTCACCTCCAGGACCTCCCAGGGGTGAAGCTGCGCACCAGCAAAAGGAGGGGGTGCGCAGGATCATTACCCCCCCCCCAGAGACCTGGTTGAAGGGTTGCTAGCCATGGGACTCTCGAGAGTTCGCCTCTTCGCCGGGGTGATGCCGGGGAATTGAGGCGTCTCTCCGTCCTGAAGGTTCTTCATGCTGTGTGGCCGAATGGAACTAAGTGACGCCGACTGGGGCAAGCGCAGGAGATCGAGTGCAGAAATGGAGCTAAAACGAGGTCTGAGGACCAATTATGAACGTGAGTTCATTTAAAGCGTACCGGTTAAAGTGAAAAGATAGCTCTCCACCCCATGAAACAGAAAGTGAGGCAAGCGGGGGAGGGACGCCTCCCATGCGCATGAACTTTTAAGCGAGTTGGAGGGGGGGAGCGGAAGAGAAAGCGGAGAAAACTGTTAAGAAATACTTACCAAGGCGAGCTTGAGCATATAAGCGCATATTCAGAGACTTTTAAAATATTTGCGAAAGTAAACAATCCTGAAAGATGGCAGGAAAAAGGACGGAGAAAGAGAAACTTTCAAAAGCGAAAGGAATGGAGAGTCCAAGACCGGAAGGAACCAACGGGCTGGCAAAGACAGCACCCTCTGCTGGATCAGATGAGTAACCTCAGGGAGCAGCTGTCAACAATGAACCAATGCATCACCACTCAGCAAACACAGTTGAATGAGACGCTTAAAATGATGAATCAAACAGCTGAGAAGGTGAAAGAAGTGGACCCCACTGCCCAAAAGGTG